GTGCTCCCAGGAGGGCAACCCAGGATGGGACAGGACCTGAGAACCACCACGTCATGTCCCAGACTTCCGGGCACTGCCTGCCCTCAGCGATGGCTCGCTGATCGGGTCAATGAATAAAAGAACAAATAAATAGCCCTGGCCAGTTTGGCTCAGCAGTTCAAGCATCAGTCCTTGGATCGAAGGATCAACTGGGTCAATTCCCAGTTTAGGGCATGTACCTGGGTTGCTGGTTCGATCCCCAGCCCTGCTGAGGGTCATGCAGGAGGCAACAAATCGATATGTCTCTTTCATACCAATGTTTCTCTCTCTCTCCCTGCTTCCCTTCCACTCTGTCTAAAAAATAAATCAATGGAAAAAATGTCCTTGGGTGAGGATTAACAGCAATAAAACAACAACAACAGATAAACAAAGGAATCCCCACTACTGGAAATGTCCAGCTGCATGAGGGGGCTTCTGTACTGCAGGGTGAGGGCTTGGATCAGGGGACCTCTGACCTGCTTGTCATCCTGATGGCCCATGAGGTTATTTAGTGCTCATTGGGACCTGCTTAGCTCTGGATCTGATGTGAGTCCTAGCCTCTGGGGAGCTTCTACCAGAGGTGGGGCATGTGATCGTCTCCAAATCGTTCTGGTTTCCCCCATTCCAGGCATGTAGTAGGATTGTGCTTCTTTGTGTGCTTATGGTTGGTTGGGACCGTGTGACCAGTTCTAGGCAACTGTACATACTAGAAGTGACGTGTTGCATCTGGGTTGGAGTGCTGAGTTGCCAAAGCGAGACTCCCCCGTGTTCTTTTCCCTCTGTCTTGATGACTGGTCAAAACGGTGACTGTTCCATCAAGCTGGGTCCTGAATGGGTTGTTTAAAGTTACGGAGACTTGGAGGTGTTTGTTACGGCAGCATTACCTAGGCTATCCTGACTGATATAAACGTTACCTGCATGGAACACCAGAGAAAATAGAAGACATACAAGGTGAACAAAAGCCGGTGGGGTTGGACAGCGTGCCAGCATCTCAGCTGAGCACACGAACACCTTCAGGTTCACCATCCTCATCCCCCACCACTCCAGTAACACCCAACACTAACCATCTACTTGAGCTGTGCTTTTTCCCGTCGCCCTAGCATCCCAACTTCAAGCCCTTGCTAACACCATCTTCTCTCTTCATCTTCTTGTCTCTTCCCTTCCATATGGTCAGACCCCCGACCCGTTCCTGAAGACACAGATCAAGTCTCGTGTTCTGCAAGACATCTCCCTCCTCGTAGAGACAAACAGAACCACTCTTTGGAATGGCTGTGATACCTGTGGTCAGAACGTCTCTTTGGGGGACTTCACATGTGTGCCTTGAGCCTCTTTCATGTTAACTAGCCTCTACTCTGCCAACGGTTAGTAAGCCTAAGTCTCCAGCTCCTATGTCTGCCAAGCTCACGGCAGGTGCTCAATAAATACTGAGTGAGTGGAGAGTAGTGCCACGAACATACATACCTGACACTTAAATATCCATAGAAGCTGATTACATAATCTAGGCACTTTTACCAAGATAGCATTTGTACTAACTAGGTGAGGTTTTAAATTGGCACTGAACCAATAGTATAATTACTAGACGGCAGCAAGATGGCTGGCCGAACGCTCCTTCTACCTTTTCTGTGGGCCAGATATGAGCAGTGTATTTGTAGTCATCGATGCCGACCACCTGTCGTCTGCTGGGTCAGAATCAATGTTGGTACCTAGGATTTGCCTAGCCTGCAGGCTGACATAGGAATCAGAGTGGGCGGGGGAACAGTAAAGAAATCTGGAAAACCCAGTACTCCCGTCACTTGTACCAGCTGTTTGGATGCAGTTGGTTATTTCATGGAGACACAAATGCAAATAAGGAGAGAAATTCCAGAGAGGCTCAGATGTCTGTGTGACCCAGTGCCCCACTTTGCAGAAGAGACACTGGAACGCGTGCCACACCTGGGTCAACATCTGGTTCTCCTGACCCTTGGGATAGGCTCTTTCACACTCTCCTGATGCTGGCTTTGCTGCAGGGCATCATGATGGAAAGGGGAGTGCCCCTCCCTCCTGTTCCTGCCAGTGTGGGATCACAGGCTGTTGGCCAGCACTCAGATACCACTTCTGACACACCCCCACCTTTCCCAGGGCTCTGCATGAACCCGCCTGGTGAGGAGGTGTGCTCATTAGGTTCCCAGCAAGGTTTCATCACCTTGCTCAATAGCCAACGCTGCCAGCCAAGCCCTTCAGTCAGGAAGTCCTTCCCAAGGTCTAATCATAGGCCCCGCTGCTGTCGTGCACATTAATTTCCTCTCCTTGGTTCCTCGGTGCAGATGGAGAAGAGCTGCTCCCTCCTGACCCCACACAACCTTCAAATGCCTTCAGCTTTCTCCCCTGAGCTAACCCCGGCTGGGACCTTGAAATCTGCTCTAACCGCACTGGGCTGCACTCTCTCGTTGCAGGTGCTTTCTTCTGCATTTCTCTCAATAGGAAGAAAAGGTGAAAACCATTTCAACTCCCAACTGAACGACGAGGTGATGGACAGCTCGCTCGGAAGGCTGCCAGGATGCCAAAGAGTCCTCAGTACAGCCAGATCCCAGTTGCTGGCAGTTGGACAGGCCTCCTCGGGACTGAGTGTGGCCCATTTTCTGTTCTGGACTCTCTGAGCCTCCTTCCCCCCATCTCGCGGGACTCAGCCTAGTCTAGGTTGCTCCCACTTGGTGCCTCAAAAGGCTGCAGAGGAGGCAAAGGGTTTTTGTTTGTTTGTTTTTACATTAAAATAAATAAGCCTAGTGCATGACTAACCCCCAGACACGGCCTGCACCGGGGCCCCTCCATGGACTGCGACCCACTGCACAGAACTTCCTGGGCAGAGTGCAGCACCTCAGCGTCCTCTGGCCAGCCGCCTTTCCTGGGCACATGTGGCCAAGGTAGGGCAGTCAGGGGCGAGGTGCTAGAGCCATCAGCCACCCAGTCTCAATTTAGCCTGTTTCCCACTGAAAATAATCCCCCCTGCCCCATGCATATGCCCTATTATCCCAATGACCTTAGAAAGCTCCGCAAAGTTGGGTGGCCAGAGGCATGGGGCCCATGAGGCATGGGGTTGCATGGACTGGATCTGGGCCAACTCAGGCATCATTATGAGCAATGACTGCAAGGCCCTAGGCCAGGGCAGTCAGGGAAGCAGAGCCAGCCCTAGCTCCCACCTTCGGGTTGACCAGCTGGCTGAGGGCATAGGCAGGTGCATGCAGAACAGCCTGCTCACAGCATGAATTGGGGCGAGGGTCTGCCTGGACGACAGGGTGTAGTGACGAGGCCAGTGGGTGTGCTGATGGGGCTGGTGGCTGTCCCTGAGAGCTGGCCCAGGGCTCCTACATCTGGTGGGTCAGGTTGAAGAGAGCCTTGAAGAATGATGGGCCAGCAGCAGCCCGTCAGAGCTGCACCCAGCGAACACACGCTTCCATGGGCAGCTCCCTGGTTCCCCCTCCACCAGGGAGCCACTCCAGGACCGTGTGGGCAGGGCGGCTGCCACCGGCCAGGTGTGTGGGGCTTTCCTTGTGAAACAGTCATGTAAGAAATCCTGACCCACTTGACCCCACTCGAGGCCCAGGGCGGTGCCCCACTGGAACGTGAGCCCCGTGGGCCGTGAGGACAAAGGCCATACCCCAGACAGCAGAGAACGAGACTGACACCGTCGAGTTGCCAAGCCACCCCGAACACCCAGCCCGGCTGTCCTGAGACAGAAGGCAACTTCCGTCTGGCTTACATCACTCCGCTGTTTGCAGCCTAATGAACTGAGTCACTAATTTCTAAATATCAGTCCTTTCATCACTGAACCAAAGTCCTCCTGACCTCAGGAGACCTCATTCAACCCAGCTCCTGCCTCTCCATGCCTAAGGTGTACTGCACACAGGTCCCAGCCACCAGGGAGGTCTGACTCAGTCCCATCTCCGCAGGCTTACCTCTGGGACACCCGAGGTCTGGGCCCTCCTTTGGAAATCTGCATCTCCTGCCCTGCACTGGGCATTCTTTTACATACATTATTTTTTCCTTCTAAGTAGTAGGGCAGGTGCTATCCTTCAGACCCAGCAGAGCTTAGCAACAGGCCTCGGCAACACTCCTGGCTGAGGAATCCACAGAAAATTCCTCTTGCAAACACCTTCAACTCTTTGGCTGCTGAGCGTGCTCGGCCCTGAGCAGCTTCACACGGCGCTGTGGGTATGACCACACCAAGACCCGGGCCAAGCAGCCTTCCCTCTGAGCCCAGCAGCTCTCCGAAGTCAGGAGCAAGTGACTGCAGGAGCCCGTTAAGGCTCCCCTCATTTCTCGGGGCGGTGAGAGGCTGGGCTGGGGATAGTGGTTTTTCAGCTAGGGGTCACCAGGGACGACTCTGGCCACACAACCCTCCTGGTCCCAGGACAGCTGGCCGGCCGAAGGAAAAGGAGAGGTCTCTGACACCTCCCCTGCACATGCCCCTCCAGGTCCTCTGCAACCTGGAGCAAATCTCCAAACCCGGGGAGGCCCACTGTCTGTGGCTCCATCATCAGCCCTGATGTGTGAACCTCCAGGTCATTCATTTCACTGCTGAATAATATTCCACTGGGAGGATGTCACATGCCATTTATCCGTTCTCCTCTCAACGGACATTTGGTTGTTTGCAGATGTTTCTTATAAATAATGCTACTACTAAAAAGAAATCTTATGAATCTAGGTGCTCGTGGGAGAGAGCGCTTCACTGGGGGCCGGGTACTCAGGGAGAACTTTCCAGAGGGCAGACTGCACCCCCCTTCCACCTCCTGCTCTCACCTCATCCCCACTTCTCAAGAGCCATGCTCTTCTGGCCCCTAATCCCACTGTCGCCCACAAGCAGGGATGAGGTATCAGGAAGAACAGCTGGCCAACCAGAGGGTATATGGGGGGCTTGGAGGGTCACCAGGGATGACCATCACGGGCCAGCCGAGAAACCCAGACAGACGTGACAACCCCCGATGGAGCACAGAGCTCTTCCCTACCTGCTGTGGGGGGGCTCGCCCTCGGGAGAAGGAACAGCTGCTGTCCAGCTGGTCGCTGCAGTCCGCCGTCCACTGCAGGGGAGAAAGGAGCGGTCAGTGATGGCAGGACACACAGCCCAGGCCCCCGGACATGGCCCTGCCCTCCTGCAGCAGAGGCGTATAGAACCCCGCTCGGCCATTCCAACAGCAAATCCTTCCCTACCAGCAGGTCCCAGCTGGCACCTCGGAATCCCAGGTGGAGGTGATGCTCGGTGTACACTCGTTTCCCTTCACCTGAGCCCACCAGAGTGATGAAGAGCCAGCTGCACTCCAAAGTCAACCAGACATGACATATGGGCACTGAGCTGTAAACAACAGGCACCATGTTTGACCACCTGGCCAGGCTGCAGCCACGCGAGCTCTCTACGATGCCGCGGACAGAGCTGGGGTGAGGTAGGTGTGTGTGGTCCTTTCCATACGCCCAGCTCCGAAGGGCAGTGGGCCTGTGGACTCACAGGACAGCTGGCACTGGGGAAGAGCCCCAGACTGGCCGTCAGACCCAGACTCATCCCCTGAGAGCTGAGAGGCCTGATGTGCCCCAAAGTGCAGTCTGATAACCACCTGCCTGGCAGTCCCAAAGCCTGCCACACGGGGGTCCCTGGACCCCACGCTCCACCCACTGAACCAGACTCTGTGAGGGCAGGAGCTGAGCATTTCGACAGGCTCCCAAGTGGCACACCAGAAGTTTTGGAGCCACTGCCACCCGTGTGGCCTCCCAGGCTTCACTGTGTCATCATAAGATGGGGACAGCTGGGCTGGGCGACTCCGCAAGGTGGAGACGAGGACTTCCATAAACCATAAAAACACTGCTGAGATATGAATGGTAGTACCAGTAGGGCCCCTCCTGTGTGCGGTGCAGCAGGGTGGTGTTTTTGCCACTGTGTTAAACGTCAGCTGGCCTCGCAGGCGAAGGTTGCTGACCACTGACCTGGATCTACACCCTGCGTGACACACGGGAAGCAGAAAGGCCGTCTCTCTGCCTGACACACCTGTCAAAACTGGGAGTGAGTATGAACGACTCAAGGCCTGGTGTTTTAAAACCTTGGCTGGACACACCCTCCTGACCGTGGGCCACGGGCACAACCGTTGCATAGGAGAGCGGTTTTGTCACGATGCTGATGACACGGGCCAGGACAAGAGGATTCTAGAGTGGTGCTGTCCAACCGACACAGAACGAGCCACAAAAGGAGCCACAGGAGTCATTTTAAATGATCCAGTAGCCGCCTTTTAAAAAGGTCAAATGAAATGTAATACTATATTTTATTTATCTTAGTACATTTCAAATAGTCACGAACATAAACTTTATCAATGAAATATTTTACAGTCTTCTTTCCCTACCAAGTTTTTGAATTCCAGGGGGAGCTCATGTCAACTTGGGCCAGCCACATTTCAAGTGCCTGAGAGCCCCGTGGGGCTGGTGGCTGCCATCCCGGACAGCGAAGGTGGCGGACCAGGCCCGGAGAGTCTGGCCCTCTCATCCATTTCTTGCCCATCTCTGCTCTGCGCTGCCGAGGGCTGATCCCTCCAACAGGGACTCCTAGGCTCGGTGTCAGCTGGGCTCAGCGAGGGGAGACGGGAAGAAGGGAGAAGCCAGGGTGCCCTCCCTCATGGCTCCAGCCCTCGCCCGACAGCCTGCTGGGCATGACCCTGCCGGCCCTGGCTGCACCGGCTGCTCTCTGTGCCTCAGGGGCAGAGATGGTAACAGCTTCCTGCAGTCACTCATCTCGGGGTGCTCAAGTTTCTCGGCTTTTTAAAAATCACCTGTAACCAACTCCCTGTATTAAATTCCCTGTCTGGATACTTGCAGTCTCCAAGCATCTCCCTAAGATATTTATTAATTATAAGGGGAAAAGGAAAAAGTGAGCAATCCATCACACACCACCTTGGCCAAGTTATCGAGGATGAGGTTGCCTGTAATAAAATAGATCACCATCCTGGACTCCCCAAAATGATGCATGGAGAAGGGCACTTTACTTCTGAGGCGTTCTCGCCCAAAATACACAATCTCAATCTAATCAAGACAACACATCTGGCAATTCAAACTGAGGAGCTTTCTACAAAATAAGTGACCAGTACGCTTCAAAAGTGCCACGGTTGTGGAAGACAAGAAAAGACCAAGAGAGCTTCACAGATTGGAGGAGAATAAGGAGACAGAACAATAACATGCAAATTTGCATCTTGGAACAGGAAAAGGACATTAGTGGAACAACTGGTAAAATCCTGAATAAAGTCCCCTTGTTCCAGAGTCAATTTCTTAGTTGTGATCATCTCACTGTGGTTATGTAAGATGCTCACATTAGGGGAAGCTGGATGACACGCAGGTTCACGGGAACACCCTGTGCTATTTTGGCACCTTTGCTATAAGCCTAAAATAATTTCCAAATAAAAAGTAACATATATATGTATGTGTGTGTATATACATATAGATATTATAAACATATAGGGTGGGGCAAAAGTAGATTAACAGCTCTTCACATGGAATACAATAATTAATAAATAATAATACAAAAGTAATGTTTTGCATACTCACAACTATAAACCTACTTTTGCCCCAACCTGTATATGTCTATATCTATATCCATATCCATATCTATATCTATATCATCTATATCTATATATCTATATCTATCAATCAAAATGTTTAAACTACTGTAAAAACAATCCCTCTGCTTTATATACTTGAGGGATTTCTCCTTTCCTGCTTGGGGCCCAGGTGACAGGGTGACAGGCTCGGCGACGCTGAGGTACACAGTGACTACTGGCCATGGAGTAGACTAAATCTTTACTCCTCACCCCATCCTATGACAGCCCTGCAGAGAAAAGTCCCAAACACTCAACCCCAGCCACACAGTGGTGATGTGACCTGAGCGTGGGCACACTTCCTCCGGGGGTCGGCATGGTCCCTGGCAGGATGTCTCCTCCAGACCAACATGCATAGAGGAGGCCAAGACTTCACACAGCCATAGGCAACCTCGCCCCTCTACTCAGGCTCCCCAAGAGCAGTCCCAAGCTCCGATGAGACGGCTCTGCTTTGTTGAATTCATCCTTCACTTCACATCCACGCACCAGAAGCCGCTTCCGAGTGCATTCAGTGTGAGGCCTGCCACGCCTCCCTTCACAGGCGGGGCCCAGGGAAAGAACAAGGTGCACGAGCCAAGATTCCTGGAGAAGAGCAAGCCTGGGCGTGGAAACAGGCAGCGGACTGCCGGCCAGCTCAGGGGCGGATCACGACTTTCTGGCGGAGGCATCAGAGACTCTTCTGGGTAGACAGCAGCAGAAGAGAAGGGCCACCCTGTTAGGGAGGCTGGCCTGGCCTGGGGGAGCAGGCGAGGAGGTCAGAGGGCAACATTCGGGTTTGCACTGCAGGCAGAGATGGCGACGAGGGTCTGAGTGCACGGTGCAGACCAGCGGTGGGCGAGGGGCTGATGCCACAAAGCGGATGAGATGGGCATGTCATGTAACAAAAAATAAATTAAAAAAAAAAAAAGATGGGCAGGTCTGCAAAGACCCACCCAGAGACGCAGCCAGGGCTGGGTACAGGCATAGCCCTGGACAAAGCTGTTGGAGAAGGGAATGAGGTCCAACTGTGCACAGCTTTCCGGCCCCCAGGGTAAGAATTTAGTGTGAGTTACCACACTTATCCCAGCAGGCTGTACCCACTGGTGACATCCCACCGGCTCCAGGGACATCCTCTCCTTTGCTGCTGCCTGAATCATCTCCATTGGGAGGAAGTGTTTCTTCCCAGTCCAACCCCCTGGGAACTGTCCCCTCCCTGCTCCAAAGCTCCTGCCTGCTTCTGCTGGGACTCCGCTCTCAAAGCTGTCTTCTTTCCTCTGAGGCCGACCCTGGGCCCACCACCTAGACAATCTCCAAACACAGACCTTCCTGAACCGGTCCCTATCTATGTGAGATGATTCCCGGATGGAGAGAAGCCCTACTCCCATCCTACCCCAGGAACACTCTCCTCCACTGGCCCCCACAGAGCATTTCTCTCTCAAGGTAAACGGGTTACAGCTAGGAGCAAGTCCTGTGCGCACGCATGTGTGTGTGCATGTGCATGTGTGGCAGGGGAAGGGGGGGTGTAAGGGTTATGTTCCCCTGAGAAAGGTCGTGGAACACAAATGGGCAGGAAAAGTGGGGCATTTTTATATATGGGACTGACGAACATCAAATTCACACGATTTTGAGCCTCCACCATAGCTGTTATAATTCATTTCTTTATCTAAAAAGCAGAAACAAAGATTGCAGAGGGTTGAGATTCCATAAACAGGAGCATAGATGTTTATTCTGTTCTCAAAGTAGATGTTCGTTCTATTATTCTTTGCTCTCATTGGATATTTAAAATATTCACACCAAAAAGAATTAAAATCTGTTATCAGGCATTTGCATCTAGGATAAAGAGTATTTGAGGAGCAGATTAGGTAGGGGACAGGGGAAGACACTTCGCATGGGGGAGGGGGAGTGAAAGGGAAGAGCCTGGAGCAGGGGAGGCTGAAGTACTGATGACCAGCTGCACATGCCAATGGCCTCTAGGTCCCCCCAGACATCCAAGTGTATTCCGTGGCCAGAACCAGCCAGCATGCTGAATCAACACAGGACTGGATAGAGATTCTCTGCTAAAACTGTAACCATAAACAGATGCACAAATGGGAACTTAGTATATGATAAGGAGATTGTTTCCAATCAGGGCAGAGGAGAGATTATCAATAAACACACAGGACTGAGAGAACCCACTAGTGGGTGAGGACAAATGATCTGAGATGTCTGCCTCCAACTATTCATAGACAACACATTCCAGGTTGATTAAAATCCAAGATACAAGTTTTAAACTGCATCTAAGTCTAAAACTTCCATGTAACAAAAGAAATCAGGAACAAATTTAAAGACAAGTGAGAGGCTACTTACAACATGTGTAACAATGTATGACAATGTGTAACAAAGGATTAATGGTAAGAAGATAGAAAGATTTCACTGAAATCTAGGTACTGTTCTAAGCCCCTTACATACATGAACAATTATTCTTCATAGATGTTTATCATCCCCACTTTACAAATATGGGATTGGAGGCACAGCATGGTTAAGCAACTGACCAGGGTTACAGAGCCAAAAGGTGGCAGACAAGTAAAAGGGCATACATAGGTATTAATTTTAAAAATGCCACATACTAAATGTAATTTGTGATCCTGTTAGACATGGAACCAGATTTTTTGTCTGGTAAAATATACGTTACACAAAATTTAACATTTTAACCACTTTTAAATGTCAATTCCATGGCATTAAATAGTCACAGTGTTGTGCAAACACTGCCACCCATCTCTAGAACCTGTTCACTTTCTCAAACTGAGACCTTGCACCTGTCAAACAGTGACTCCCCACCCCCTCCTCCCAGCCCCTGGGAACCACCATTTTATGTCCATTCTCCACGAACTTAACCATTCTAGGGCCACACAGAAGAGGGATGAGCCTTTGGTGTCTGGTTTATTTCACTTGGCATAAGGTCCTCAAGGGGGATTTTATGTTATAGCACATGACAGGATTTCCTTTGTTTTGAGCCTCACTGCACATATATAGCACGTCTTGTTTATCCATTCATTCACTGATGGGCCTTCAGGTTGCTTCCACCTCCTGGCTCTTGTGAATAACTGTGCTACGAACATGGGTGTTCGGGTCCTTGCTTTCACTTCCTTGAGGGATACATCCAGAAGTAGGGTCACATGGTAATTCTATGTTGAATTTTTTTGGAGGAACCTACAATTTCTTTATAAATAATAGTATTGCATCAATGTTTATTTCCTGTACTATGATTATGTAAGAGACTGTTCCTGTTCTTAGGGAATATACAACCAAAGTGTTTAGGGATAAAGGGGAATCATATGTGTAACTTACTCTCAAATAAATCAGAAAAAATTTGCTCTATATACTATCTGTATCTATCTGTCTATCTATCTATCTATCTATCATTTATCAGTATGTCTATCTATCTATCTATCTATCTGTCTGTCTATTTATCTATCTACCTACTATCTATCTATTAAGAGACAAAGCAAATGCGGTAAAATACAGGGTGGGGCAAAAGCAGGTTTACAGTTGTGAATACGCAAAACAGAGTTTATTCTTGTAGTATTATTTATTAATTATTGTATCATTTTTCATACGAACAACTGTAAATCTACTTTTACAGTATTTACAACTGGAGAACCTGGGTGAAGGATATGCAGGAATTTTTTGTACTATTATTATAATTGTATGTACATCTCAAATTATTTCAAAGTGAAAATTATTTTACAAAGCCATCTTATCCAGGGCTTCTTAATCAAGGGGCATCAGAACCCCCGAGGGGGTGGTCTGAAGGTCCCATGGGAACCACTGCTCCCTCCTGGGCCCTTGTGTCCCTCTGAGGGATCTGAGAGAGACTGTGACTTGCTCACAGCCTCACGGAGCCCACGCGTGGAATGGCCAGGAGCAGATCCTGCTAGCCTAAGACTTGAACTTTTCAAAATAGGAGCATGTTCAACTGTTTTCTTTACCCTGGGCACACGGGCTTACTGACCAGGAGAGGAGGAACAGGAAGGGGAGGTGGGACCGGAGACTGGCTGGCAGCTCATTTTCCATCCACAGTGAAACTCCAAAAACCGCCTTGTGTGTACGGGGAGGGGATGCTGCCCAAGAGCTGAAGTTTGAAGTCTGAGAGGGGAAGAAAGGCTTTTTGCTCCCATCTTACACAAACAAACAAACAAACAAACAAACACCAAAGAACTTGCCTGTTGTAGAAGCAGTGTAAGGCAGTAATTTAGGAGCTTGAGTTCCTACTCCTTGTGCAAGTCACCTCATCCCTAAGACTCAGTTTCCCCACCTATAATAATGACTGAAACTACCAAGAGCAGAGAGGTTAAGAGTATGACAACTGGAGAAGACCACCTGGTTAAAGCCACATACTTGCTGTGTGACCTCAGGCATCTTATTCAACCTATCTGTGCCTCAGTTTCCTCCCGTGTCAGCTGGCAACAATAATAGCACCTTTTTTCATAGAATTGTGAAGAGTAAATGGTTAACATAAAAACACTATAGTCTCCTTTGTGATTTTCTCTTTTTCTTCCCAAATTCTTAGGGCTCAATCTTTTTTTTTTCTTCTTTAAATAGGTTTTTATTGAATTTTTTTTTTTTTTAGAGAGAGAGAAAGGGAGAGAAACATCCATCAATCGGCTGCCTCCTGCACACCCCCTACCGGGGATCAAGTCTGAAACCCAGGCATGTGCCCTGACCTGGAAACGAACTGGGACCTCTCAGTCCATGGGACAATGCTCAATCCACTGAGCCAACGGACTGGGCTTCTTCTTCTTCTTTTTTTAATATGTTTTTATTGATTTCTTTGACCTTCTTCTTCCACTGCCCTCCCTCCTTGGGTTTAAAATGCTGCCCACACGCTACTATGATCAAATGTGAGTCTCCAGTCACTGCTCTCCTCTGGACACCACCTCGGCACATTGAGCTGCTCGGTCACTTCTCCACTTGAACATCTAATTCTTAAACCTTTCATGTCCAAAAACGGAACTCCTGCTCTTTGCTCTCCAAAGCTGCTCTTCCGGGGTCTCCCATAGCTCAGTCTTGAAATAATGTATTATTATAAGTCATATTATGCACAGATGTTGGCAAAAGCATAAAGAGGTGAGGAGGTCAACTCCAGTCTGATTTGGGTAGGGTAAAGCAGTGGAACGAGGCAGCCATTACGGGAGATCCTGTCGGTAATGTCTGAATTCTTATGTCCCACGAGAATGCACACCTATAGTACTTGTCTACGTAATGATACAGCATTTTTTTAAATAAGGAGAAAAAAATAAAAGGAGTCCCCCATGCTCAACCACCCCACAGCTCCCCTTAAACTCACTTCTGATAAGCCTTTCATGGGTGGTCCACCATTGAGCGCTTCCTCCTATGAACAAGGATGGCCAGGGGAGAGAGTCAAAGGCAGGCAGAAATGAAGGGATGAGATGAAAGGGGGATGAGGGAACAGTGAACAGGGAAGGCAGAATGGGGGGGGGGGCATGAAGAAAGAGAGAAGAAAAACACTGTGAGTAAGAGACAGTGGCCAATCTGCACGTTCGGACCTAGCCTGTCAGCAGGGGTGCATCTCTCTTCGAAGGGCCACCTGCCTTTGTAACGAGACCCAGGGCTGCACCAAAAAGGACTACTGGAGTTAGCGTCACCCTCACTGGCTCTTCATCTGACCTTGGAACAAGAATTTACTGGAAAGCACTCCCAAGTGGAGACAGACATGCCCCCCTGTGGCTGGGGTGTCGACCAGAACGAACAGCAGTCACGTGGGGGCTGATAAGAATACACTGCTTTGGCCCCTCCCCACTCAGTGAACTCTGAGGTGGGCCTGCCGAGCTTCCCCAGTGACCCCACTGCGTCGCCCAGCTGTGAACTGACTTAGAGCCTGGTGATGATCCACAAGACCACCCACAGACATCAGAAGTGCCAAACTTGCCCCATTACAACATCCAAATCTCTTCCAGAAAAGTTTAATGGCCAGTGAGATCTGGAGTCCTAATTCTCATTCCACGGGGGAAAATATATCAACCACCCAGGGGCCTGTACCCGGCAGGAAACCTAAAGCAGGTGGAGAGGGGGAAGCACCAGGGCTGCTCAGCCATCACCAGCAGCGTGGTGTGGCTAGTTCTCGTTTCTGTGTCTCAGTCTTTTCTTCTACATAATGGGGCTACAGTACCCCTCCTCCCAAGCACAGAGTGAGGACAGCTTTCAGGATATGCCTTTGGGGACTTGGAATCCATTGAAGGGCAGGCACTCTTGAAATGTATGTGTGTGAGGGGTTGTGATTTAAAATATGAATCCTGGCCTGGCCTGTGTGGCTCAGTAGTTGGGCATCGACCCATGCACTAGAAGGTTGCTGGTTTGATTCTGAGTCAGGGCACATGCCCAGGTTGTGGGCCAAATCCCCAGCGGAGAGCATGCAGGAGGCAGCCAGTCAATGTTCTCTCTCATGGACATTTCTATCTCTCTCCCTTTCCTTTCCTCTCTCTTAAAAAAAAAATCAATAAAGAAAATTATTAAAATATGCATCATGAAAGTGTTGGGAACTTGGAGCATCCATTCTCTTGGTTACTCATCTAAAGAAATGGAAACTCACTTTCTCCCCTTCCCTCTCTTCCCCTCCCCTCCTTCCATCCATCTGCCCATTTATCCATCTTTCTAGTTGGTGCTGGGGGAGGGGCAGGAAGAACAAACTAACTGTACAAGCATCATAAGATATTTTCCTCCTGAGTGTCTCTCAGATCCTAAGAGAATGACCTCACCAACTGAAGGACAACATTCTTCTCCATTCTCTCAAGGTTTCCAAGATTCTTAACAGTTTTCCTCTTCCAAAAACATTAAAACACTGCCACAGACAGGCAGACAGGGACATTCTCTGAGGTTATTTTTGTTCTTTGTTTTTGGCTTCCATTTAAAATAGTCATCAGATTAAATAAAAACAATCAAAAGTGCTTTAGCAGAAAGATTTCCCGTAAGGCTGTGTCAATAGAAGTGTATTATGTAGACACCGCTAAGCCCAGCCTTGCTTAGAGATGTCCACAGCTGTGCCCTCCTCTGGAGTCTGTACCCCAGCTGTGTCTGTGGGGCATACGGGGGACAGAGAGGGGCAGTGGGATCAGGACTGAAATGCCCCTTCTTGGCCAGCAGCACACGGGCGGATCTGCCCAGTGTTTGCATTCTTCCAGAGAACTTAAGAAAATGCAGAAAGTTTAAGGGATGCATCCAGATGTTGCCAGTGGCCATGTTTTCCACAAAGCCTCACAACAAACATCTGTTCATTTATTTTTTAATTTTATTATTTTCTTTAATCCTCACCCGAGGATATTTTTTAATTTATTTTTTAGAGAGAGGAAGAGAGAGAGAGGGAAAGAGAGAGAAAAAAACAATTGATGTGAGAGAGAAACATCGAACAGTAACCTCTCATATGTGCTTGACTGGGGATTGAACCTGAAACCTAGGCATGTGCCCTGACCAGGAATCAAACCCACAACCTTTTGGTGTACGGGATGACACTCTAATCAACTGAACAACCCAGCCAGGGCAACAAACATCTGTTTATTTTATTTTATTTTTTATTTTTTTAAATCCTCACAGGAGGATATTTTTTCATTTATCTTCAGCTGGGGGAGGGTGGGGAGAGAGAGAGAAACATCAATGTGAGAGAGACACATCGATTGGTTGCCTCCTGCTGGGGAGGGCTGGGACCGAACTGAGGTATGTGCCCCTGACCAGAATCGAACCTGCAACTCTTTGGTCCGAGGGCTGATGCTCTAACCGTTAAGCCAAACTGCCCAGGGCAACAAACATCGGTTTAAAAGCCGCTCCAGATGTGGAGATGAGATCGTGGTCAGGTCCAGCCTGCCCAGGGGCAGGAACTGGCATGCAGGGCCCAGGGTGAGGGCACCTCTCTATCTGCCGTCCATGCTGAGGACTAGCAGGCACCACCGGAAGGCCAAAGTCACCGGCAGGCCCCTCCTTTCAGAAATATCTCCCAGGTGGCTGCTCTGGAAATAAAACTTCACAAAGCATTCCTCATGGTTCCCTTGGACTTTCTTCCTGCAAGGGCCCATTTCACCTGGAAGAACCTTTGAAAGTCGCCCTGCAGGCCACCAGAGTCTGCATGGTGAGGGGGGCAGGCAGCATGCCAGGCCGGCCCCGCCCACCTGTCCCCGGGGCCTGCTCCTGGGGAGTCAGCCCAGGATGCTTATGTGGAGCAGCAAGGTTGCTCCCTCTCCTTCCTGCCCTTCTAAATCTTGGTCCACCGTCTTTCATCTGAGTCCACCTCCCAACCAAGGCCAGGGCCGCCGCAGACTGACCCAGGAGGAGCTGAGACCAGCCTGTGATCCTGGTCAGAAAGCCTCCTGTGCCTGACACACAGAGCCCCAGGGCACTGCCTGAGAGACTCAGTTCTGTGACTACCCTCAACCGCCTGGCTCTGAAATCAGGGAAAATATTCACAAGTCACAGCCTTCCCACTGTGTGCATTACGGATAAGCTGCCATCTCCAGATCTCTTCTAGAACATAAGTTCGTGGAGGACAGGGAACAGAGTAGAGCACATAGTAGGTGCTCAATAAATCTGTGAATTGCACATTTGCCCACCGGGACAGGACAGAGCAGAGGTGGGTCAGAGGGTCTGAGAGAGGCTTCCTGCATGGAGCCCATGCTCTGTGGGTGGGACCACCCACATCCTGGCAATTAGGGCCAGGCAAATAGACGCTGTCTGGACTTGGGGTCCCCTTATGGCCCAGGCCTTGCACCTGCTCAGGCCCCAGCCCCTCTCCCGGTCTCTGGGGCAGCGCTCACCTGGGAGATGTGGGACTGCGTCTTCTCGCTCTCACCGTCTCCCTCCGTCTTGTCTGCCAGCAGCCCCTGCACCTGGTACTCGAGCACATAGCTGTCGATGAAGCGCTCCAGCTCCTCGATCTCCTGGGAGCGGCTGCTCCCGGCCTCGGAGGAGGCCGACGCTGCGGAGGAGTTCTCCATCCTCCAGCTGAGGGGCCTGGCTCAGGGCTGCGGGAGAGAAGAACCAGGCTCTGTGAGGTCAAGCCGGAGAAAGAGTCATGCCCTCGTTAGTGTGAGGAAGATGCTGGGATTCCCCTGTATGGAGAGGGAAACTGAGGCCCAGACAAGGCAGGTAACTTGTACGATGTTCGGTATTACTCCATACCTAGGCCTTAGCATCTGGGAAAGAGCAGAAAATAGACCCAGACTGCCACCTAAGCCCATTTCCCAACTTGGTGTTAAGAAAATCAGGCACAAAGCAGAATAAAATAGACCATAGGCTTTGGTGTCCCTGACCTAACCATTTAGGATACGTAGGCACAAATCCTCTAAGAAGATGCCTCCTTCTAAAGAAATGCCTTCTCTTTGGCCACCAGACTACCCCTAAATTAGTTGAAGCCAGCAGGCCTTAAGTTATAGGTGCATCTGCAGCCTTGTGATGCTTTGGCTCCTGGGACACATGGCAGGCTCAGTCTGCAGGAATGTGACTTGCTTTTAATGACGGAAGGTCAAAGGCCTGGTAGGTCATTTGGGAGGGGGTGGTCTCGCCGTGGAGACGGCCTGGCCACCCTGCATAGGAGCATGAATCCCTGGTCAGCCCTTAGGCTTTCTCTGGGATGTGCCTGGCAGAACCTGCATGACTGGCATTCCAGGGACACCACCAAAGTCTAACAGAAGAACTGCTGTCCTCTCCTGACTGGGTGGACCCAGATGCCATAGGGGCCCAGGCCTGCTGGGACACCTCCACTGCTCTCTCCCACCCTTGTCCCTGCACCTGACCCACCTGCCCTTTTCCTGACAGGTTCTAAGCCAGATGGGAAGGGGCTTCAGAGCTTTTTGGCCCCCTTTTTATTGTCCGGAGGTTGCTGCTCTCCAGGGGGAACCCACTCAGCTGGAGGAACAGCCTGTGCACTGTTTCACCATCGGAACTGGTAGAACGGCCGTCTACCAAACCACCGCTGGACACACAGGGCACTGAACAATGTACACACTGAGCTCCGAGACCACGACGGGCTGCGAGCGCCTAGACTGTGGCTGTTGACAATAAACACAAGGTCCTGGTATGTCTCAAGGAACATCTGCATTTCAAAACCTTGGATTCCTGAGAGCTCTTTTAGAATGTAGTTTATTTGCCAATGATCAAGGGTTTGTTGAGTTTTGAACTAATGGATCCAAAGCAGGGCAAAGAATGGCCCACTGGGGTCCAGAAATGCTCCGACTTCACGAATGCTGACTCCCCCACACCCTTGCGGGCCTTCTTAGAGGCTGGGGTGGCCATGGTGGGCACACACCTTCTTCATCTGGTTTCCTGACTCCGTTTTTTGGTTTTTGGCCTCTGCAAGGATCCCAGCCTCCTTTGGACCCCAGGTCAGCTGCAGGGGCGTGTATGATGCTGTAGGCAGCTTGCTCTGGGCTCCTGAGCTCAGCAGCCTTGGGGCTGGTAGCCTGTCTCATTTCAGAGGGAGCCGTCGAGGTTTCAGGCCCAGGAGCCCTCACCAGAGTGAGGGAACCCCGGGGTGGAGGCTTAGGCAGCGGTGGGTCTGCAGAAAATCAGCTCAGACTGCAATGAGCATGCCGAGGGGTACAAGGCAGTCAGAGGTAGGGGTGGGGATGTCCAAGTCCCCTTCCTCCGCCTGCCAGTCAAGGCCGACAGTGGCCTTACATCCCTCCCACCACCAACACCCACCCCACCCCTCCTGCTGCAATGGCTGCCCAGGCTCCTCTCCAGCACCCTGTCTCTGCTGCTTGCCCCAGGCACAGGCCTGTGTGCCAGGCAGAACCATAAGAGGGTCCTGGGTGTACATTTTCTCCCAGTCACTCAATAAAACACACCCTGGGTAGTCCTGGGAAGGGGTTTTGCTAATATAATTAAATTCCAAATCAGTGGATTTTAATATAGGGAGACCATGCAGGAGGGCCTGGTCCATCACAGGAACTCCTCGACCTGGGACTAGAGCTAGAGACAGATTCAAAGCACACGAAAGATAGGACACACTGTCGCTGGTTTGAAGAAGGAGGGGGCACATGCAATGAACGGAGCAGCCTCTAGGAGCGGAGACCAATCCCTGGTCAGTGACAGGAAGGAAAAGGGCACCTCAGCCCCACAATCTCAAGGAAGTCAATTCTGCCCAAACCCATTGAGCTTGGAGAGAACTCTGTCCCCCAGAGCCTCCGGACAAGAATTCAGCCTGGCGAACCTTGATTTCAGCCTCGCGATACACCGCGTGTGACTCTGACTTCCAGAACTGGGAGCTGACACACAGGCACTGTTGTAAGACGCTGAGTGTGCAGCAATGTGCTGTGCAGCCACAGAAAACGAACACGCAATGCTTCCGGCCTCTGCTTTTGCTCGCCCTGGGGCCCCTCACCCTGAAGCACGTTTCCATTCCCTCCACCCATCTGGCAACAGGCCCAATTCCCAGGTTCAATGGTGGTTAGTGGGCAAAGGATCACCCAGCCTTCGTGTAGGGGCAGGTACACTGCGACTTCTAATAATGGGAATGGCTAATGTGTACTGCACCCCGATCACGTGCTAGGCACTCTTCTCACACTGGGTATGCCTTCACCCACTCACCCCTCACAGCAACTCTATGAAGTCAGTGTAATTAAACTACTTGGGAAACAGAGGTTCAGAGAGGTTAAGTAACTTGCCCAAATCAGCACAGCAGAGCTCCGGGTCTGCCTACACCTCACTCACTGCCTTTTCATCCCACTCCAGGCGGCCTTCTGCAGTCCCCACTGCCCTTCCCGCAATGCACAGTGAATTCGAATGCGGTGGGTGCTTCCTATTCTGCAATGGGATAGGGCTCTGGAGGGCTGGGCCAGTGCCCAGCTGCTGGTCTCAGCCAGATGGCACGATAAGATTGATGTCCAGAGAGGGCAGAAAGGAGCCGCCTGCAGGAAAAGGTAGTGCCTACGGCCATGCCTATTATTCCTCAAAGACTTCAGATCTTATCTCGGGCTTCCTGGCGCCCTTCGCAGGTACAGGTGGAGGGCTGGGTTTTGCAGGAACTTGCCTGGAGCTCTTCCAGGAGGACTGCGTGCCTGGCTCAGCAGCCTCTGTCCTGTTCTGCTAGGCGCTCCCAGACAGGGCTAGGGTATGGCCGTCTCTTGGGGCAATACCTTTGTCCTGTTCAGTGAGGGAGCCCCAAACCTGCACTGGCTCACGGAGGAAAGGGATGGGCGTCGAGACCCATTCCCACCCTGCAGAAATTTGGTGCCCAGGGAAAAAGAGGACTCCTCCTCCCAGGCCACTGTCTTGGGCACCTCCTGTGGCACATCCAGTTGCTGCTGCCCAAGCAGATTCATGCAGTGAAGCCCGACAGCACCTGACCTCTGCCACCCTGAGCACCTTCTGCCCAGGCTCCCCCGACACACGCCAGCGATACCTGCAGGATCCCAGCTGGCACCCAGTACCTGCACTCTGGAAGTCACGGAGCTAACATGCCTGGGCACCCACTCCTTCTTTGGTCTCTCAGATGACAATTCCAAGGTGCTGTCAACACAGTCCCCTATCATGTCCCAGTGGATTGACCCCAGCTGCCCACGGTGGTGACCAGACCCATACACCCCTTTGTCTGGCTCTCCCCACTCCCATGCCCCTCCCTATGGGGACTGCTGCTCCTGGGGTGCTTCCAGGAACTCTGCTTTCTGGGGGAAAACCAGGGTAACCTGCCACTGGGGCTCACTTGTTCATTCCAGAGCAAGTCCCAACCAGGGAGCCAGAAGCCCCTCCTTCAGCGGGAAAGCCCAGCTTGATCTCTACAAAAGAAGATGTTGGAGGAGGGAGAGGGAGAGAGGGCTGTCCCCATCGTCCATCTTCTCAGCTATTGGGCTCAAAGTCCAGTCACTCACAGCTAATTTTTGTATTGTTGTAACATACACATAACCTATAACTTGGCGTTGTAATAATTTTCAAGTGGACAATTCAGTGGCATCAAGTGCATTCACGATGGTTGTGTAACCACCATCACCAGCCACCTCCAGAACTTCTTCGTCTTCCCAAACAGAAACTATGCCCATTAAACATCAGCTCCTCATTCTGCCTCCCCCAGCCCCTGGCACCCACTGCTCTACCTTCTGTCTCTAAATTTGTCTATGCTGGGAGCCTCAAATAAGTGGAATCATACAGCATTTGTCCTTCTGTGACTGGCTTATTTCACTTATCCTAATATCCTCATGGGTCATCCATGTTGTAGCATATGTCAGAATTCCATGCCTTTTTTTTAATCACTAAATGATACATTGTATACAATAATACATTGTATGTAGAGACCACATTGTGTTCATCCATTCATTCGTCCACGGACACTCGAGTTGTTTCCACCTTTGTCTATGGTGGTTAGCACTGCTATGAACATGGATGTACACATATCTGTTTAAATCTCCTTCTAGTTCTTTGGGGTATATACCTAGAAGTTCTGCCTCATTTTTTAGGCAAAAAGAGTGGGGAGGCACAGATTAAACTCTCAGGCTGGTGGAGAGACAGGAAAATAAAGGGAGTGAGGGTTTGTTCCGCTCCCTTCCCGCCTGTGCGTTGAGGTGTCCTCCTTGCTCAGTTTCCCATTCACACAAGAGCATGATGGGAAATCCCCAAACAGCTGGGCTTCTGGCTAAGCGGAGAGCCAGCAAGAGGAGCTTATGTTTTCATGATTAGTGAACGTGCTAAGGGGGGGGTGGGGGATTGAGGAAGAAGAAAGAGAAGAGAATGGAAGAGAACAGACACCTTGGCTGCAGCCATCCAGAATGCAGAACCCTGCAGAGTGGAGGCCCCATCCGGGATCCCACCCTCCCTGCCCGCCCTGCCCCCATCCCCTGCCAGGTGATGGATGTGGACGAACCAAAAGGGAAGCAGCAGGAGTGGGGAAAGCGCTGAGGAGGCTGCTCTCTGCTGTTGAGCAGGCAGCCCTGGGCCCGCAGGCAGGAGGGGAGGGCCTGGGTGTGCACAGTTAGGAGGGGCCCAGGCTGCAGAAGACATGGAAGGGCGGGGGGACTCCTGGGCCTGTGCT